ATAACTCATCTAATTTAGGAAAGTTTCTATTTTTTATCTAAATTGAATTTCAAATTCAATTGGATTTAAAATAAATCTTTTCTAAATTCAAAACTTAAATTAAGAAACTTTAATTGCTCTAATTAAAGCCTCTCTTGACCATGCATGCCGCCAGCCTCTTTCCCTATGAGTTTTAATTTCTTTATTTCCTAAATCTTCCATCCAGGTTTTAGGAAATATTTCAAATTCACTCATAACACTCCTACCCGAAATTCCTCTTGCCTTATCCAGCCAATTGATTTCCTAATCTTAGGAAATTATCTTGGAAATCAAATCCCACCTCCTCAGCATCCCGCCGCCCCCTTTTCTCCCTAGCAAATTCTCCCCCTCTCATAACTCCTCTCCACATCCTAATTACCGTTGAGTTCTCTTCCATAATTCTGGTTGCTATTAACTCTCTCCGTCCAACATTGACAGTTATTTCTCATCTCAGATTTCTGAGAGAAAAAGAAATCTGAACTATTTCAGATTTCCTGAGCAAGAACCTGAACACAATTTCAGGTTTTGGGTTCAACACTTGGAAGTATATCCCCAACTCATTATCAAGAGAAATTTATTTCACTTTGTGACTATTCAAGAGACATATCCTATTTGCATCGAAGGAAGCCATGGACGAAGACGTTGAAGGCATCAAGTGACGGATCTACACATCTTTTTGGCAAAGGTTTCTTTTCTCACTTGTATCTTATTTCTTTGAAATCTAAATTCTCGTTGGCTTGATTGTAATCGCAAAGGCTCCTCCAAGTGCTCCTGCTAAGCCTAGTAAATCGTAGGTTATTGAGTGTGCTTTCTATGCATCCTAACTCTCGTTGTTAAATTATGGATTACATTGAAAACTACTATTTTGCATTGTTTATTTGTCTTACTTATCTTGAAAATTTCAAAGCTTGGAGTATGTGATTTAGCCTACGCAAAACGCCTCTTTGACTGTTTTAATTGACGTTGAGAATTGCTAATAATTTTAATCCAAAATTATTCTAATCAAAGAATTGTGCAATGTTTAAAATGAAGCCTTAAGCGTGTCATCTAAATAGTCCTGCATCACCTCGTTTTCCAAAACAGACGAATAATATGGTTCACCTGAAGTATCACAGCCTCTTTTCCTTTTGTAAGCATATATTTCTTCATTTACAGATACTTATAAATAAATAAAATAAACAATATAAATATTTTATAAATTACCTCAATTACACTCTTCTTGATGTAGAACAGGGAGGAGGCTTGATTTCTAAATGTCTTGAAGAGCAAATCGAGGGGTCCAAACAGCAGCTTTTGACTCTTAGAAGTCTTGGACAGCAACTCTTCTTCCAACACAGCAGCTAGAGGTCTTCCAAGGGCTGAAGAAGAATAGGGGATAGCAGTTTTTTCACTTCCAGATCAGCAATTTCACGTTCCAAACCTTCTTAGCAAGAGGTGTCAAGTGCTTGAACTGCGGAGCAGCAACTAGGAGAAGTCTGAACAGCAACGGATTGAATTTTGGGGCTGGCCAGATAGAGTGGAGCTGCAGAAAAACTGCTGGACACCAGTTTAACAGCCTCCAGAATTCTGGACAGCAACCCTGTTCAGGAAAAAAAAAAAACAAGCTCTCTTGATCCGTGGGAGGAAAGGGAGAGGGGTAATGGATTGATAGATCCCTTGTAGTTCTATCCTTCAGTGGAATTACTCCTGAGTACAAGGGGAGGGAGGTGGGCTGTTAGAGAGAGGGGAAAGTGGGAGCAGCAATAGGAGGGAGGGAGGAAATAGATGAATGGCTTGATTGCTTGCCTAATCAGTAATTGTCAATTAGGAATAGATTAATTCAATCCCAATTCGAATTTTAAATTGAACTTAATTGGGGACTTGAATAGTGATTGATAATGGCAAGAATTAAGGAGAACTAAAGAGGGGGGAGAGGGGTTTGATTTCAAATAAGTGGGTCCCAATTACTTAAGTAAATTAATCCTTAAATCTGAAACTCGCAACATTTTTCAGCAAACATTATAACATCTTACGCAATTTCAACAACACTGCACAACAACACTTTTTCTAATTTCAGCAGCCACTATTTCCTGAATTCAACAAAATGATTGCAAAAATTGCTATCTTAGAAATTCAGCCATTGATTCCACTAGATTTCTAAAATCTTAAACCTCCCGCCTCAATTTCATTACCTCATAAATCAGCTACCAACCCTGCAGTTCCCACACACAGCCTGCCTCCTTCAACTCCAGCTCTCCCACGGCCTGCATAGCTGCTTCTCACATGAATGGGGAGGGAATTAAATGAAAGAATGGCTACAGTTGAGTATTTTCACTTGTTCACTTGTGTTTACTAATATAATAATATAAACCATTCCACTAAGATTCCACTCTTAATTATAATACTATATAATTAATTACCCTAAGCTACTATACATTAATGTTATCCGTTGGATGGAGTATGTGAGTGATCAGCCATTGCATGTCAAGCTAAGTGGAAATAGCAAATGACATAAACAGTATATTAAACTTATATTAATACTAATTAAATCTTAATTATATCTAATCAAGAGATTTATGCACATATATGTATCTTTTAAATACACTTTTCTAGACCACAATGCTCTAAATTAAACTAAAAAAAAATTTGAAGTTGGTTTTCCCATATGAGAAATAAAATAGGGAGTGATTTCGGGAACTATTCATACTTACATTTGACAAAACTTCAGGTATTATAGTATATATCTCATCTCTTGTGTTGGCCAATATGAAATACAATGTAATTTCTCACTCTCTTCTTTCTCATTACATTTATATTATCATAGCTTTTTCAAGTTCAACATATCGAGACAACAATGCGGAACCATGATGTCATTGGTGTATCCAATGCCTTAGCTCTTCTACAGAGAGTCAGAGAGAATGACAAATCTTCCATATCTACTTTGATTTATCCCCTGATCTGATAGAATTTAACATTCAAATCCATCAAAGCATGTTAGCATATAAGGTCTTCGAATAATCAACATTTGTAACAAACTTGTGGCATATAATTCATATGCTATAACTTGAGAGGGTGTACTTAAATTGTAAATAGTAGATGCAGATATACTTGCCTTTTACTATTTTATGCTATAGTATGTTGAATAATGTTTTCAACTGCCATTAGGTGGTAGTTGAGGTTCATCTCTAAATAAACCTCCAGTGTTGGTCAAAATGAGAAACAATATAGCTTAATCCTCTCACCCGTCTCTCTTTTCTTTTATCTATAAAGACAAGCTCAACCAACAATTTCTACCTAACATTTGGTTTAGAGGTGGTACGTAGAGTTCTTTCAGATTACACCATATGAGATTTTGATTTGACCATCAACACTTACAATCTGCAAAGTCAAGTACCTAACAAAGCCATATTCATTAAAGTAACCTGGTTTTTAAAATACTCAAATTGTAATTAATAATTTTCTGACATCATTTTCAATAGCTAACATCCCAACTCCTATTTACTTTCTCTTCTTCGAATCATTAATGAAATAGAACTAATTAGAAAATTGATGCAGTGGTAGCAAGAAAATTTTAATTTTCTCGAGTTCAAGAATCTTTTGCTCATGTAGATAAGAATGTAAAATGCATCCTATCATCTGGATCCCTTGGGCTTTATTTTGCTGCTTGACTGTAAATATACAGACATTGAGTTGATCTTGTCAACTTTTTTCACCTTCACTCAAATTCCCAGCATCCAAACATAGCCTAAACATGCCCGGATGTCCCCATGTGAAATTTGCCTCAATATCAAATACAATTGAGCAACATGTATCATTAAATGATATGCAAGCAATGAATTAACTCATTATTCATCTTCCCAAAGATAATTTTGGGTCATGAGAATCTGGTATTATCAAATCCCAACTCCACTTTTACCATTATTAAACTAATGACCAGGTCAAATATGAGCACAGAGGCAAATCAACGAATGCAAGCCATGCAAATTTGGAGCAATTCTATTCTGTTTCCCCATACTCACTTTAAAGGAAAAGTAAAATCGTTACTCGTATGATCCAAAACAACACGACAAGAGAGCCCCCAGATCAATTCACAAACTGCTTTAATATCTTTAATATCGTCCTAACAATCGGTTTAGTTGTCCAAAAATATAATGAAGTGAGACTCCTCGCTCAAATTGAGAACAATATGAGTCGATTAAGATATAACTAGACTATAATCTATAACTGAAATGGATTTTCCTAATTTCCAGTGCTCTGAGCAAAAATCCTTGTTTTCCACATCATCAGCCAGAGTAGTACATGCATGTTCCTCACATATAGCGGTAACAAACTACCAAAAAAGTCGTACCCATACCAACTTCTCAGTTAAATGTGCCGCTTCCTTGCAACAAAATGGGACCTAAAGAGACAAGTATTCGACTGTAAAGAAATCCACCAGAGGGATAAGCAAAACGTTCCAGGAATGCACAAAAAAAGACCCAGGGCTCATGAAATAAAATTTTATCAGAAGTGCGGAAAATCGCTCCTGAATTAAAAAAGTATTTTATAAGCACTACAAAAAGTTTATATAAAAACACAAGATACATTTTTTCGCTGTATATAAACCACGGAAAGGCTCTATAAATCCCTTGAAAGACAACTCTTCTCACACGCAAGACTCAAATCTTTTTTTTAAGACAAAATTTGACCCTCTTGTTGTTTATATACGATTGTTTTGTTGTTTATGAATAGTTTTCTTTCAGTCATCATTAATTCTTATATGAGGAAGTCCTAATTAATTTATTCCCTGCAAGAATTTACCATCCAACATGACAGGCCAAAAAAAAAAACGAAGCAAAAGAAAACCACCAAATCGACAGTTCTTCATAAACCCAAATGTTTACAAATCCGAGATGAAGAGCAGCTATATCAGAACGCCTCGTTGAATAAATAGAGAGACAAATAGCCATTTGCTCGGAGAAGGAGCCGACAACGTAATAGAAGGTTGGGATCGAAATCAATACCTTCGGGCTGTGGAGTGGTGTGGAAGCTTATCGGAACTCCGAAAGCCGAGAGTTGGTCAGGGAGCGGCGTTTAGAGCGTCGCTCACACAAGTTCTGTACGAATTTCTGCAGAATGAAGAAATATATACATGTCTAATGAAATAGCAAACTATCATTTTTGTCCGCCATTAACGCAGATTTATAAGCACAAATTTGAGCAACCGCAACCCTTTTATGCGCCTCCGGATTTCTGCTTCAACAGCCATTCTTCATTTGAGATATCTCAAGGGATTTACATACTTACCATCCTACATCATATTTTTAATATATCTAATATCTAAAATTATAATATTTTATGTATATCGTTTATATTTTATAGGTCAAATATAAATATAAAAAATAAAATATTAAAAATATAAAAAGTTGAGTATTGATCCCACGCGAAATAATGTTTACTTACAAATATTGGTACTATTTACTTCAACTACAACAATTATCCTACTCAATAAAAAAATTGTAGAGATTCAGTCACTTAATTTAAATCATAAATAATTAAATTAAATATTATTTGGATAAATTATTTTAGATTGATGTAATGTAAGTATAATATATTTTCTAATAATTCTCTTTTATATTGATGTTATTCGGAGTATTTGCATCATCGGACCCTCAGTTAAGCGTGAAGAGATAAATGATAGATTGAACTTTTCCAACCGTAATACCACTGTAAACTCCCATTTATAGTCTGTCACCCAATAAAAATCTTAAAAAGATTAAGTAAAACGTATACTGTTAAAACTTCCTCACGACAATTCATCTCTATAAATTTTATACATTACAAGCATTATTCATATGCTTGAATCATACCAATCCAACATATATGATTGTGCCTACTTTCATATTTGTAGACTCCATAATATACTTGATATTAACTACACATATGGATATAATGTGCATTAAATGAGCACTTGGTCTATTAAAAACATCATAAAATTATTGATTGAGATGATTTATTAGTACTTCATATTTCATTTCCACCATCAATCTAAAACTAGATAATTTAGGCATACATGAACAACAAGTAAAATGTATTCATTTTCATTAATTGCACATAAGAATGAAAGTACAAAAAAATAGATATCACCATATATGTCTAATGATCTTCTCTAAACTCTTATTGGAACTTCCAGAATTTATTTCATAAATATAAGTCAAATACTCTAATGGAATATATATAGTATTTCTCTAAATTCTCTTAGTTGTTACTCACAATAAAAATCAGATAAGCATTATAAAGACTAAAATTAAATAAGTGACTGAATTCCTCTAATAACATTAAAAACAGACTATTTATAGAAAAATGTATAAAATATATTATGGTGTTGCGGCGCTTGAGACACTTGCACCACAGCGCCCATAAAATGAACTAACACCACAATACTGAAGGGTTTCCTCCACTGCGGCGCTTGCTAACATGGTCCCGTTGTTTAATGAATCAACATATCGCTTCGCTCGCAGATTAGTCTGAACATTTATAACTGTAGCATCACGTCGTTGTTGACAGTCGAGCGTTGCGGCATTCATGTGTTACTCCCTTGACTAAGTTGTGCTAGAATTTGGAGTTGCGGCATTGTACAATTGAGATTGGGCTTTGCGGCACTGACTTCTTCGGCACTACAATGCAGCCACAAATATTGGGCGCTGGCATGTCCATATGTGGGTAAACTGGTTCTGTTAAAGATGGCCCCGCAACGATATTATGTCTGACAAAGCGACGTTGTATCATACTTTAAAATTTTACTCATTTCCCATATTTTTTGTACAAACATATCTAAATAATAAATTTTAACTAATAAATTAGCACATAAAATATAACATTATTTATACTTATCAAATTCTCGCTTGCTTAAACTTTTGATTGTCATCAAACAAGCAAATAAAAAATTGTAATTCTGATTAAGTTATTAACCAAAATAAAAAAATGACAATCTAAAATTATTAAAATATAGAATAATAAGTATTGTTTTAAATTAGTAAAAAATGAATCAAAGCTATACTTCTAGCTAGAAAGAATACCAATAGTTAAACTTAATCGATCATTCTTGTGTTTTCCTAATTTAAAATTAGAGGTTATAGATTTAATCTTTAACTTTTGAATATTGAAGTGAATAATGTAGTCTTAATAATTGGATATAATTATAGTTAAAACTTAAAATATACTTTCATTAGTTCACCATACCTTATATTAGCTATCTCATATATATTATCATTTATAATTTATATATAAGATTATATTTCAAATCTTTAAGATTTCACTAAAACTAATTTTTAAATATACTCATCTTTTTCTTTTGATAAACTTTTAATAGTTTTTTTGTCGTTTTTTTTCTTTTATGGAGTATATAATTAATTATTTTAAATACCAGCTTCTAATTTAAAATGCCCATACAATTTTAATATTTTTTTTGTACGGATCGGACTTGATGAGATTATTAATTCCATCTTCGGGTTAGCTATAATTTTAAATTTTAATCTATTCATATTTAATTGTTAATACTAATTATTCAGCTTAGAAAAATTTAAACTTAAATTCATAAAGATATAGCTTATAAATTCAAATTAGGGCAATAGCTCATACGATTGAATGAGTTAAGTATTAGATTTTTTAACCTATGAAGTATAAATAAAGTTAATTTAAACTAGGACCTAGGGTTTTATCATTATTCTATTTTTTTCATAATATTTAATTATCCTTTTTATAATGGTTAATTAAATAATCATAATACAAAAGTAATTGGAGGATAATAATAATTTAAGCATGAAGGGAATTTACTAATATATAAATAAACATATAAGAAAACACTGCAAACACATGCTTTCATATGAGTGATAAATAGCGCATAAAATATGTGTTGAAAATAAAATTTAACATAATATTCATAGCATAATACAGTTACAATATAATCAGTGCACATGACAGCTCACATTCAATAATGACTCTCAAAGTCAAAATTTTCAGTTAAGTGTACTTACACAAGTCAAGAGTACTGAATGTCTAAAAAGAGAACTTCCTCCTAATTGGTTTTATAATTTTTAGAGGGAGGGAAGTTTGAAAATTTTAAAATTTTAATCATTAAGGGATGTCGGGGAGCTGCAACGTTAAAAGGTATGGAGCCGCGGCGCTCTCTTCTTCTCTCTCAAAGTTTTTTTTTTAGTAAATAAATCCTAATATTGAGGATATGTCTGTCTCCCTAAACACATTAAGTTTATAGTATTCAACCATACTTTATAATTGACTATACATAAAGTTGGGTTGCCTCCCAAACAATGTTAAGTTTATAGTATTCGGTCAGATTCTGCCTGAATTTTTCATTTGGCTGAGGTGGATGATTGATATTTTTCAATTAGGTCTAACTAGTATCTCTTTCCTTCTCTTTAGGATTAACTTTAGTGTTACTAGGAATACATCCAATGGATCAACTACTCATAAAATTTGCAAACTGACATTGTTGAGTTTCCAATTATTTAATTGAAGTTGCTTGGTTTTGTAAATGAGTTTCTAATTGCATGATTGCATCTTATAACATTGTCTTCCTAGTTTCATATTGATTGTTTTGATTTAATCTTAGAGGATATGTTGGTATTGGACTGTTAGTAGCTTGATTTTGATTATTCCATTTCGTGTCTTGGTTATTTCGATCAAAATTTCACTTATTTTAATAATTATTATTTGATCTATTAAATTTTGACTTATAATATATATTTATTTGAATAGAGATTATTTTGTCATCCAATCATAATTATATTATCAATCCCTTGGATATCATTTTCTTCGATTGAGATTTTATATTTCAAACATAAATATGAATCATAATATAAGTTTAAAGTGTTAATTTTTCTTTATGTTAATGCAACTTGTACAATAAAAAAAGATAAATAATCAATTTCATAAACTCCAACCACTCTCTTAAGATTCACCCTATCAGCAGGCTATTGAAAATTATTTGTTCTCATTTTTTCAATTAATTCAGAAGCATCTTCATAAGGTTTTGACATTAAAGAACCTTCAGCTAATGCATCAATTATAGCTCTAAGAGATTTAACCGATCCATTATAAAAAGTTGAATTATCAACTAATCAGGTAAGGCATAACATCTCCTTGAATCTGTCTCAACTCTCATAAATAGATACTCCTTCTAACTAAGTAAAATAAGTTATGTCATTTCTAAGCTTGACAATCTTAGAAGGTTGGAAATACTTTCCTCAAAATCACTAACAAGCTCGCGAGTTGAGCTTATCAAGTTTCAAGCTCTAGCTCGAGCACATTTTTTAGCTCATTAGATTATCGAGCTCGAGTTTGATATAGCAGATGCTCGGCTCATTTGCTTGACGAGCGACTTAACTATGCACAAGGCAGATTGTGTACCACGATGCGTAGTGCGAAGCACGAGCGACCAAACTGCCAAATAAGATGAATTTAATCACTGAACAATCAAATAGAATGATAATATTAGTTTTTGAATTGAGCTGCTAAATAGGACAAATATGTTTTTTTTTTCAAGAGTAATATTGTGGTTCATCGTGAGCTAGGACTTTCCTCCTTATGTTGTGGACTTCGTGAGCTCAAGGAGGAGCGGTTGTGACGCCAATGACCACCCAGATTTTATCAAGACCAAGAAATTTCTTCAGATATCTTAGAATTGTCAAATATATTTTTGGATTAGTACATTTCTGAGCATTGTCAAAGATCTGAGGAAGTGTTGTGGTTCTCCCTTAGTGAGAGAGATGATATTGCAATTTTTTCCTTTGCTATGTTATATTTTTATGAGTCATTTTAAATTTTTTTTATAAGTTTTCTTCACCTTGAGTAATGGAGTAGAAGGCAGAACCAGAATCGTGACTGGAATGGGAAGAGAGTTTATGCCTCGTGAACTTTCATCGGTCGCTACGAGCCGAGTTTGAGCATGTCATATTAGCTCGAGCTCGAGTTTAAGATCATGATCTAACTGACGATCTAAGCTCAAGTTAAGTCAGACTCAAACTCGATTCAACTCATTTATACCCTTATACTCAACTAGAGTTGAAATTTAAGGCAAACAAAAAAGTTTACATATTTAATGCATGAATGGTCAGATGATAATAATTGTTTACACCCCGAACCGTTTTACAAATGGGTCGAAATCTCTAACCCGAACCCTACCCGGTTCAGGTTCGGGTTGACCCAAACCCGAAATTTTCGTGTCGGGTTCGGGTCGGATTTTCGGGTCGGGTCAAATGTTGACAGCTGTATTCTTACATTTGTATGATAATGCTATGAGGATAGATGTCAATAAGACAATAAATGTCCTGAATGGCTTCAATTGGATATATCTCAAGCAAAAGTTATTTGAGTGTGATCATTATGCAGTTGGTCTCAATTTTATTTAGATACGTTATCATGAGTTACAATGTGAAATAGAAGGTAGTCATTCATAAGATGTTTAGAGTTCACCACAAGATCTAGACGGTGTAATTATTTATCATCATTGGATTTTAGGTGAGGAAGGTTTTATTTTGGATGTCTATAAGAATAGGGAGAATGAATTGTTATATGGATTAAGATTTTATATTGGACGACGATACCTTCAATGTGAATTCAAATTTTGTTTCAACTTTTGTCCAATGCAATCCCAACTCCGAACACGTTTGTGTAATTTGCTTAAGAAAAAGTAATATTTTATAGCCTTGATACGTCATCATAAAATTATCTTGATCGGACACGAATCTCGATGCAAAATCATGCGGAAAACTTCAAAAATTAATTTTGAAATCATCTGAACACTGATTTTGGCAAACTTATAGTCGAACTGATCGTCTCAGAAATATGAACCCAACGACACCAAATTCAACTCGATCCGAGCCCAAATGGGTCCAAATCAAGGACCCGAAGCACTGTTGGAAGGTTCAAACAACAATTTGAGTTACTAAACAATATCCAAGCATGACGAACTTATTGTCGAATCGAGCGGCTCGATGAGACAAATCCAACGAGACCAAGATTGTCGAATTTTGATATCATTAAGACCTTCAAATGTCTAACAAACGGTTCACGATTAAGGGATTCAATATCGGCCATCCATCGAACCACTCCACACTTGCCCTTGATCCTCCTATTTACAGGCTTGCTACTAAAAATATGTATATAAATAGACCCTTCATTTCTCTTGAGAGAAGGCCCAAGCAAAAAGAAGAGAATAAGGATAAGATAAGAAGGATAAGAGGGAAGAACTCCTCCTCGACCACCGCAGTCGGAATTCTGTCCAAGAGACGCCATAATTCCACCCGACCTCCAAGTGACGCCAGAATTCCATCCGACCTCCAAGTGACGCCGGAGTTCTGCCCGAATACAATCTAACGTTAGAATTCTCCTCGGCCTCCAACTGGTGTTAGACTTCTACCCGACGCCGGACCTCCGCTCGTCGCCAAGTTTCTACCCGACGCCAAACTTCTGCCTATTGTCGGACTTTTATCGGACATCTATCCGATGCTGGATTTCTCCCTATTGCTGGATGTCTAACTGATGCCGTCTTTTTGACCTATGTCGTCAGACAACGGTCCTTCCGACCTCCGTCGCCCGCCGACTACGATCCTTCTGACTTATGTCGCCCGCCGACTATAGTCCTTCTGACCTCCGTCGCCCATCGACTATGGTCCTTCTGACTTACGTCTTACGTCACCCGCCGACTATAGCCCTTTCGACATCCGTCACACGCAGACTACGGTCCTTCTAACTTACTTCGCCGACGACTACAGTCCATCCGACCTCCATCGCCCGCTGACTACGGTCTTACTGATTTATGTCGCCCATTGACTACGATCCTTCAGACCAAACAAACACATCAACTGGGATTCTTTGTATTCACATAATGTAATGTACTCAATAAGATGTACATCAAGCTAAGGTATTCCCCCAAGGAATGTCCTCATTTGTAATCAACTATAATACCAGTGGATTCATTCATACTGGGCCAGACCCCCGTGGTTTTTCCCCCTTTTCAGGGATTTTTCACATAAAAATATTGGTGTCTTATAAATGTTACACACCCTCTCTCTTATATGATTGCGTGCTTGATTTTTGTATAATGCTAAGACGTAAAACTTTATATTTCTCTACCGCCGCGAATACTTCAGGACGCAACAAGCCTTATTTATGTTGTATGTATTGTGTTCTGTCGTGAAGAAATAATTATAAAGTCCAATTTCATTTAAATGTGTTAGGACTAATCATTTTTTAAGACTAAGTTATGTTTGTCGATGTTAGTTTTATTTATTTTTTAATTAGCCCACTATCTTTAATTTGATTATATATATATATATATATATATATATATATGGTGAATAGTACATTAAATAATAATATATGTATAAAATTAGCATGCTCCTCTAAAAAAAAAGAATAAATAGCTTCTAAAATTAATTTCACATTCATAATATGTTTATAACAATTTAAAGAGAAATACACAAATTGTATAATTTACTCCTATTTTTAAAACTAAATTTTAAATCATATTCACCTTATTTTTAAAATAACATTCTAAACTTATTTTAATAACTATTTCACCATTTTCTCTCATTTTTCATTAACTAAATCTCATAATTGACCTAACTTTAAAATTTATTTTAAAGTATATTGATATTAAGGCACACTTGCTTCGTTTCAAATGAAAGGCGTTATCGGGTCGGGTCGCTAATCTGACAAGACATAAAGCGTTAATAATAAATTAAAAAAACGCCTAACAGATGTCGCATTTTTATTGGCGACCGAACGGAGAGATGGCTTCGGTCACCTGACCCAATAATTTGCCCCCTTTTTGACACTGCTAATTTTCTCCCATTCCCGGTAAATAGACAAAATCTTAAGTGATTATATCCCCTTCTATATCTCTCATTCTCGATCACAAACGTAATATCAATGAATCAGGTTTTTCTCTATCATATAGTTGGGATTGATATTTAGATTTTCATTTAGAATTAAGAGAATAAATAAAATTTATTGTCTTTCATTAGTTTAATATTAATTAATTGAGATATTAATATTAGAAAGTATAATTTAATTAATCTAATTAAAATTGATAAAAAAATTTAAATAAAATTAGTAATAGATAAAAGCAAATTAATCGACTTTAACATCCCTTATGTCAAATTATTTTCAACATTTAACTTCCCAAGGATTTAAATTAGGTCCAACTTGAATTTAACTTCATGCAGCCAAACCGCCAGCCGCATGCTCCAAAAGCCCGCGTTAGGGTTTTACTTATGTCCACTGCCGAGTAGCCACCCTTGTAATCACCTCTTCGCTCTTCGCGCCTTGATTCCTCGTTGATCTCCTTTTATACGGGGTTTGATTTCAGGAGCACAGAGAGCGGATCACAGAGAAGTGGAGAGAAAGGTCTACCGCTACAAGCAGAGAAATCGCCCCCGAAGAAGAAGACATGCCCACTCCACAGGAGTTCTTTTCCACCATTGATTCAGTTCTTTCCGGTCCCTATCCCCCGACACCCCATCAACGGATACAGCTTTTGCACTCCATTCGATCTGCTCTCCCTCTTTTCCAGTCACTCCTATGCTATCCGGTCTTTCTCTATCCCTCTCTCTCTGTCTGTCTCTCTCGCTTGCTCGCTCTCTCTCTTATTCATATTCTTTAACAAATATTGGCATTGTTGACTGTGCTACGTATGCAGGGTCCTAAGGCTTCTGACAGATCTCAGGTCCAGTCCAAAGAAGTCAGACTGCCTGACTCACCCATTATACCCCTCGATGACAATGATGTCCATATTGTAAGCCTCTTAATCCGTTGTTTTCAATGCTGAGGGTAAGATTGAGCAGAGTTGTTTATGTAATGAACTTTTAATGATAGGTAATAAATACTACTTTGCAACATCTTAAGTGCTGCCTGGTATCCTATTTCAGGCAATATTTAGCCTGATTTAACTTATATCATGCCAAAAAGAATTTTGGAGAACTTAAATCCTACTATTTTGATACATTCCATTTCATTCTATTATTGTTTAAATTTAAGAATGGTTAAATCCCACGTTCATGTGATTTAACTGATTTAATGATTTTTCTTTCTCACAAATCTTAAATTCCAAAACAAATAACCTAAGAATTTATCTGGATTTATTACAATTCAACAGTTGTCATGCTAAGAAATTTTTAAGATTTATTCCTCCCAAATATATATTTTTTGGATTTACTAAATCTTAGTTGAGTAAAATCCTACTTGTAGCCAAACAGCCGCTTAATGTAGTTACGCAACTTACCTAAACACTAAATCCTTGATATTGACCATGGAATTAGGTTAGAAATGCATGTGACATGACTTAGGCTTCTTCATTAACGTGTTGCCTAAACTTGCCAAAACGCAATTTTGATCTTTGTGGGAAAAGCACGAACACTTTCCCTAGGTATGCAAACTCTCCAAACTTAGTTTCCGTGAAGGTCACACCTGTTTAGTTGTTGGTGCGTGTCTGTGACAGCAGCAAGTATTTTATTTCATGCATAGCTTAGCAGAACAATGTAGCTTTTCCAGATGAAGGCCAATAAGAAAAAGAAATCTGAAAGTGCCCAATTTATGAGGTTCACTGCTTGTACATTTTATTTTCTGTCTCCATATGTCTTGATCTGCTCTTCCCGCTGAGCAGTGATTTGGCTGGCTACTTAATTCAGTCCTTTTCGTTTGAGCCTTATTGAGTTTCAGAATAAATTAAAAAGATAAAATCTATTATAGTATTATGGTTCCACCATGCATGATGGAATTTTTAGTTGGGCTTGTTCTTAAACAAATCATGCTTGAACAAACCTCATAGATGGGAAGCCTAACATTCCCTCTCTTGTTGGCCATCTCTTATAGAAACTCAACAACATAAAAACCTTGATTTTTTAGGTACCTATTTTGGATTTCCAATCACCACCTGGTCAAGGGCAGAGCTATAATTGGGGCCTTGGGGGCACAGGCCCTCACTGTCCGAACATCCCAAAAATTTTTAATTTTATATAAAAATCTAAAAAGCAAATTTATAATTTTATAAAAACTAATTAATCTAATTAAGTGTCGTGGCTTCTATTTAAATTGTTCTGTAAATAAAATTCATATTTGATAAGACTAAAGCAAATGGTTCATTTTAAAATGACCTGTTTTTTAAATCATAACATTATATTCAAGTACATTAAAACTTTTATCATATAAATTTTCTTATTATAATAGTAATTTTAATAACTAAAATTTTAAAACTACTAGTTCCTAACTCTATTAAAAGAAATTGGGAGCATTTTTTAAAATGGATAATTTGTGCTCTTGACAACAAAAACAACAACAACAACATGATAATTTGTGCCCCTACAAGAAAAAAAATCCTGGCCCTGCCACTGCACCACCAGGTGTTCTCATATAGTTAGCTGAATAAGTGGAATAACCTGTTGAAGTTATCTGAAATTTATTTTTTTGATGACCTGCATAGCTTTGTCACCTGCACTTTCCATTTACTATTCCTTTCTGAAATGATTGACCTAACTAAACCATAGTTTTCTTACTTCTGTATTACAAAGTCGAAAATAATCAAATCCATTGTACACTACAGAAGAGTGATGACTATGTTTTGCCAAAAAAAAGTAGGGTTTGTCTGTCTAATAGAACAAGAAAGTTTCATCAATTTATGCACTACAACCTGCATTTTCTTGAGCCTCTGTGCCTAATAAAAGGTTTGAGATTATGCCATGCACTTGCGTTCAGCGTGATTTATCACTATGTTCTAACTATTGTTTTATTAATTTATTGACTTGATTATTTTTCTCCTATACAAAAGAAATTTACGTTGTACTTTAAAAATAGACTTTACAAAACTGTTTTAATTTCTGAAATTTGATTTCTCACAACTCAATCACAATTAAAAACAAACAGGCAGTTCCGATTTCATTATGAAAGGGTATTATTGGAACTAGGTATGAAGGCCAAACACTCTAGATTCGCTGACCATAGTTATATGTTATATGTGAATGGAAGGGAGCTTTAGTAATGCAATGAATGCTAGCGCATATTACCGTGATTTTGTCCGCATGTGTACATAGGCAATGAATATATATGTATGATTTGTATTTACTTTCAACAAGTTTATGGCTCAATAATTCTCTTATATATTCCATATGGATTCTCTTTGTAATCTTCTATTGTGTTATATTTATTTCTTTTGTTTTGTATATATCTGTTTGTGTTCTGGAAAATAATGTTTAGAAACTTGTGTTTAGACTTTTGGGGTAACTCACGTCCTTGTGCATGAACTTGTACTTTTCATACAGGCTTTGAAATTAAGCGACGATTTGAATCTTAATGAAATTGAGTGTATTCGTCTACTTGTTTTTACCAATAAAGAGGTATGATGTTGTTTTTTACATTTATTTGCAATTTTAAGTATTATTTATTGATGAATGTTATACATCATTTTTTGAATTTTCTATCTTAATAATTAATTGTATCTGTAGTGGACTCTATTTGGGCGAGAGCCATTGGAGATATACCGTCTTGCAGCAGGCCTTTGGTACATGGAAAGAAGGAGTGTTATAACTTCTTTACACACCCTTTTACGGGTAAATTGCATAAACTATTGCATCTGAATCCATGATTAAAGTGTAAAATTCACTTTTTATTCTACTTTGTTAATGAAAATTAATCCAATCCTTCTGTACTTTAGGCTGTTGTACTGGATCATGACCTGGGAGCTGATCTCTTGGCTGATATTCAGAAATATCTGGAAGATCTTTTTGACTCTGGCCTTAGGCAGAGGCTTATTGCACTCATAAAGGTTGGCATGCTTTGTTTCCCATCTTCATTACCTCTTGTATATTCATGGAACTTCCTCCTGAATGAATGCGATGCTCTTATAAAAAATATTATCTATGTTATTTGGTTTTATATATCTTTCCATATCCTTGAAAAGACTGAAGTTAGCCACTTTTTAATGTTTTATTTATGTTACGAACAGGAACTAAATCGAGAAGAACCAGCAGGTTTTGGTGGACCTCATTCTGAACGCTATGTCATTGACTTCAGAGGTGCTATTGTTGAGCGTAAAGCTGCTGTTGCTCAAGAAAGATTGCTTCTTAGTCACTGTCTTGTCCTTTCTGTACTTGTCTGGAGAATGAGTATGCCAACTCAACCTTTTTTTTTTAATTATAAATTTTGATTTAAAAATTCAAAGGCTTATATATTGAAACAATAGTTGCTTCATAAACGCTTTGAACAGTTGTAAGGTAAAACGACATTGGGTTCTGCAGTTTTTGGATTTTTTGCTTGAGGTGAACTACTTAGCAGCAGTATGAAATTACACCTTGTGGTTCTTTTCATGTCATGTTTTTTTATATAATTAGGTTATTATAATGTACACTTTTGATGGCTTACGGCTCCAGCACTCAATTTTATTTAATCCTGTAGTATATTAATGCACACACACACAAATTCGCTTCTTGTTGTCATTCCAGTTGCTGGTTCTATGCTATTTTTTTTTTGCATGGGAGTTCACACTTTGTCACACCTAATTTCAACCTTCTTCTAGTCAATCATGAAGCGTAAAAGTGGCGGACAATCTAGTTAGGTTCATTTCCCACTAAGACCCATAACGACTTACTAATTTAGATTGAATGAGTAAAAAATCATTCTAATTAGATTGTCACAAAATATGTAATCTTTTAATAGATTCATCATACTCCTTAATATTGAAGCATGTATAATTTAATTCATCAAAATAAATTACTGAGTTTATAATATTTTCATAAAAAATTATATATGTCCGAAGTCTTTAATTTACATAATGTTGAATTTTTTCCATATACTGCACATCCAACAACAGCAACAACAACTACATCAAGCCTTTGTCCCACTACGCGGGGTCAGCTACATGAATCCTTTTTCGTCATTGTGTTATTTTAAAAGTTAAATTCTCATTTAAATCTAATAAAGAATGATAATTTCTAATATTTTTTAACCAAATCTTTTTAGGTCTATCTCTACCTTTCTTAACATAAGTCAAATCTAAAACCTCAACTTTTCTAACCGGGTCATCGGAAGGCTTCCGTTTAATGTGACCAAATCATCTAAGGCGACTCTCTCTAATCTTATCTTGCACTAGAGCAACTCCAACCTTTTCATGTATATGCTCATTTTGTATCTTATCTCTAAGGGTAAAGCCACTCATCCACCTAAGCATCCTCTTCTCTGCAACACTTAACTTAGTATTATGCTTCTCTTTTAATGTCCAACATTCGGCAGCATAAAGCATTGCAGGTCTCACCACCATCTTATAGAATTTTCCCCTAAGTTTGAGGGGGACTTTTCTATAGCACAACAAGCCCGATGCATTCCTCCACTTTAACCATGCAACTTGAATTCTGCTATAATATTCCATCTATTTCACCATCACTCTGAACAATAGATCTAAGATATCTAAAAGTGTACTCTTATTAATAACTTGATCGCCGAAAGACACAATCCCCTCACTAGGTCTTTTGCTACTAAAATTACACTCCATATATTCAATTTTAGATATACTCAAGCAAAAATTTTTGGACTCTAAGGTTGACCTTCATAATTCTAATTTACCTTGAACCACCTCTTTAGTCTTATCAACAAGAAGAATATCATCAGCAAAAAACATACACCAAGGTACAACCTCTTGCAAATGTCTAGTGAGAACATCCATGACTAAAACAAAAGGATATGGGCTTAAGACTAATCCTTGATGTAATCCAACCAAAAGAGGAAAATACTTGGTCAAACCACCTTGTGTTTGAACACAAGTAATAGCTCATGCATACATATCTTTAATAATTTGAATATAAGCATTATTAACTCATTTCTTTTCAAGAACCCTCCATAGCACTTCTCTTGAAACTTTATCATATGCTTTCTCTAAATCAATAAATATCATATGTGGATCCTCCTTATTCTTTCTATATTTCTCCATCAAACCTCTCAATAAATGTATGGCTTCCATAGTAAACCTACACGACATGAATCCAAATTTATTTTGAGCAACATTAGTATCACGCTGCCAAACTCTAATGCTAATCCTAGCCTAGCCGCCGGCCTGTTTCCCTCCTCCTAGCCTCTAAAATTCAAAACCCCTCATCATTACTTTCCTTCTCCACATACCCACTTTTGGGAAGATTTTGATTTCAAATATTCAATCAAATTTGAATTTTGAAATATTTCCTAACATAGAGTTCTATTTTAGGAAAATTTTCAAATCAAATCCAAATCAAATTTAAATTAGATTGGATTTAAGTCCTTAATTTGGAATTCCCAATTAGGGAAGCATCAAATCACCCTCCTTAAACCCCCATCCACCTCATCATGCCACCGGTCCCATCATCCCTTTTCCCTTTTTTTCTCTCTCCACAAGCACTCTCCCACTAATCCCCTCAATTAACTCCCTCATTTGGAAAGATTTCAGATTTCAAATTCAAATTTATTTGAATTTGAATCATTTCCTAAAATAGGAGCGATCTATTTTGGACACTTTCCACATCTATCCAATTTTGAATTTAATTGGAGATCCTCCCTTTAATTCCCTTTCTCTAATTAAGCCCTATGTTTGGAAAGAATTTCAAAACCCCAATCAATCCCCCCTTGGCAAGGCTGGCCCCTCTCTCTCTCTCCCCAAATTAATTAACACCCATTAATTGCCTTCCATTACAACTCCCCAATTAATCCCTTAATCTCCTCAGCCCTAGATGCCACCTCCAAGCCCCCTCACCTCTCAATTTCCTCCTCTCTTGAACTTCTAAGTGCTGTCCAGTTTATCTGCTGTTGTCCAAGAAATACAGCAGGTTTCCCTTGCTGTCTGGCATTCCTGAGAGGCTTATTTTGCTGTCCCAGACCCCTCCGACTGAGTAAGCTGTTGGCGGAGTCTTCTGAATGTTGTTCGTTCTGCAATCTGGCGCCTCCAAACTGTTGTTCAAAACTTCACGTGCTGCTGTTTACACCTCTTTAGTTGCTGTCCAGAAGTTTGGAGCCTCTTTTCCTGAGAATCCTGCCCTTCTACCATACAGAACGGCGGTCCCAAGAAGGCCAGATTGCTGTCCTAACTTTGAAGACTACGGAGGGTGCTGATTTGAAGCTTTCGACTACCTCCTAAGGTCTGATAATGGTGAATTCTTTCCCTAATCTCTTATCTTCCTAGTTATCCTACTATGTGGCTTAATGATTCGTAAGAAGCTTGTTAATTATTCTCCGCTAAAGCCTTAGAAATTAGAGAGTTGATTGAGCAGACTATAACATAGTGACTAGTCTTGTTGTTAAGAAAGAGATTTTTGTTGGAACCAATCATGTATGCAACGTCACATTAATTGACTAGTTTATAGTCTTAACTTTCACGCATGTGATTTGACCTAAGCTTATTTTATCACCTTATCGTTTTATCTTAGCGTTTAAATCAGCATAAGTTATAAGCTAAAGAAAATTAAGTGTGCACATTTCTTAATCTAATCATCCTTGCATGTACGTTCTACATTAATATTGTTTTTTTATATTTTTTATTATCTTCCCCTTTATATTAAAGTCCAAAACTAATAATCAATGTTGGGTACATAAATTTTCACTCGGAATAACTTTACAATTTATGCAATCGAAACGATCTAATTTTCTTATAAGAAAATAATCAATCTGCATTTTACTATATCCATTTTATAAGTGATAAGTTGTTTATCTCTTTTTTTAAATAAGGTATTAGCTATTAAAAAATCATAAGCTAAAGAAAAATCTAATATGGTGTTATCACATTTATTTGTTATTCCAAACCCATGATCACCATGAATGCTTTTAAAATCATCTATCTCTCTACCAAAATTTTCATTTAAATCACCTCCAATAAAAACTCTTTCTTCAAGAGGTATCTTTTGTATTAATGTTGTTGTTGTTGTACTGCACATCCATCCGTAATATTTGGATACAAATTAATTGGGCTATTTGTTTATGATCGTACATGCTCTTTTCATTTTCTTAAAAAAAATGTCATTGTAATATGCGATGAGTTACACTCTCAGCTAGGTAAATAAATTTATTATAATGTTCAAATATACAAAAAATAAGTAATGATATTCGTGATGGTCTATTGTACTAACATGATCATTTCTAAATATAGACACAATTAGCTTCATATAATAGTTAATTTTTAAAGCAAATTGGCATTTAAATAAATAAAAGACAGAATTTTAAATTAATATCATGAACCCATGTAAGAACATGGAATGCATCGGTCAATTTTTAAATCACGATGTGCTCTCTACTTTTTAATTTATTTGCACCACTTTAATTTTCAGTTTTCATTACCAATTAATTTCTTAGAAATGTTATATAATGTTTATAAGCTTTTGACACATTAATATCATTCGTCGTCACTCGTCACCTAGCCTGTCAGCCCTAAAATTCAATCACTGATAAAATTTGAATAATCCAACATAGTAATTACCAATGTTCCCTCAACCTCAAGGTTGAATTTTGTAGTATCAACTTTCTAGGATCGAAAGTCAGAAATATTACTTTTTAACTATAAGGGCATTCTCGTCATAACTTTTGCCTCCCATAGCACAGGTCATCATATCTTGTCAATATATGCTACTAGACATGACCTTTCATTGACTCCTTTCAATTTAATATTATCATTATTAATATTTAAAACTTCATTGTTTAACATTATTAACCTATTAATAATTATTAGTCTATTTGACATGCTTTAAGTATATATATATATATATTTATGCGCTTTAATAAATTATTTAAATATTCTTGATTAAAAATATTTTTAATTTCTTTAAATAGGTGATAATATGAAAATTTATTAGACTTGTTTAATTCATTATGTTGTACTCAATATGATGAAATGTCTACTTGCATGCACATAATAATTCAATGCAACAATAACATCAATCCTTTGTCCCACTACGGGAGATCGGCTACATGAATTCTTTTTCTCCATTATGTCATGTTAAAAGTCAAATTCTCGCTTAAATCTAATAAAGAAAGATCATTTTTAATTTTTTCTAACCAAGTCTTTTTAGGTCTACCTCTACCTTTCTTAACATAAGTCAAATCTAATACTTTTACTTTCCTAACCGGGACATCAGAATGCCGCCATTTTATGTGACTA